GATAACTCAATCAGTGCAGAATTCTGCATCTATATTAGGCAGTGGTTCAACAACTCGTGCATACCACAGGAGACTATCTGATAATGTCAGGAGTTTGGAAGTGGGTCCTCTGTGTTGTCAGGGTCATGGTGGAGGCATGACTTTGGAAACAACCTTTGGAAACAACCAGTAACTGCCACTGTTGGACCTCTTCTGCTGTAAAAGTAGAATTCTGCATCTGCATTCTCATGCACTAATAGAAGCAGAGCTAATGAATGCAAATGATGCACAGCAGATTGTATCATGTACCCTTTCTTGTAATCTCAGCACAAGAGCATAAGATTAATGGTAGTGAAAGAACAAAGTTCAAAACTTCCTTCATGGCATTTTCTGCCAAGCTTTACTTAGGGAATTCTGTTTAGTTGGGTGTATGTTTGAGCAGGTCCAGTGGAAGGTGTCCCTGTCTATAGCAGGGGGTTGGAACTGGATGATCCTTGAGCTCCCTTGCAGTCCAAACCATTCTGTGATTCTATGATTTCCAATTAACAGTTTACTTCCATTTCCCCAAGCAACTACACACTGGACAGGAATTTTCCTGAACTACAAACACAGTGAAAAAAAATCCTTCTACCCCAACAAATTGAGGTCCTCCTTCTTCATGTGAAGGATAAGCTAACATCCATGGCAATTTGGATTCTTAACAAGACAGCGTGCAACATGAACTTGAAATCTGAGCTACAGATGCTAAGATCTGTTGTGCTTTTCTCCCAGTGATTTGTGCAAAAGGAAATTAAGAGGGCTCAAGCACAACACCCATAAACACCAGTTCACTTCATCAGCTATTTAATATTTCAGCTGCACACAGGTATTATGGGTACTATAATCTTAAATCCCCTTTATCTTCAAAATGTTCCTCTAAGTTAACAGATGTGCAATTACTTGTGCTTCATAGATAAAGAACAGACATAAGCACTGTCTCAGACTGAACTGTCCGAGCTCATGGAAGAAAAGTTATTCCAGAGTAAGACACCCAATTAAATATCTCAAATTTTGCCAAACCAGAAGGCTCTGAGAGACCTTATTTCTTTGTTGTCACAGCCATATCCTTCCTCAGTGCAAAGAGCACCTCTCAGGATGGGATTGCATGAGGACCTGCTTGAAATTCCAGCCAAGTGTGCATTCTCCTCAGCTGGAGGAGAGCAGCATATTTAATGTTCCTCCATTTTTCTTCCCCTGGCAGGTTCAAGTAAATAAATAAATAACGGGTTCAGAGCAGAACACATCACAGCTCTCATACACAGGCATGGAAGTAAAAACCTCCTTCACATGAATGAAGCCTTGGTGATATGAACACACGAGCTTTTGCAACAATGGAATGATAGCGTTGGTCCCAAATGACTTGCAGTGAAAAGGCAAAACATTGTTTGTGCCTATTTGTCTCAAATCAAACAAAACTCACCCACCTTTCAACTATAAAGAAGGTTGAAAGGTCCTGTGATAAATTAACTAATCCCAACTGATGATGTGCTCTTGGTAAGCTGGCTGACGTGTTTTGGAACAGCACAGCAATTAGCACACTCTAATGAAAGTTACTTAATTTACAAGAGGCAGGCAGAAACTTTTATATTTTCCAAAAAAAAAAAATCCAATAAATCCAAACCAACAAAACCAAACCAGCTGAAACCCACACCCCCAGGAATTGCCAACTATCCCACTGGAGGAATTGCCAACTATCCCTCCATCATGGGCAGCACTGCAGCTCCACAGGGATAGAACCCAGAGCACGTGGCTGATTCCCTCAGCCACAGCCAGCACTAAAATGTCCCGTGTGAAACGGGATGACTGGGAGGAGAAATGCAGGAGAAGCAGGTCCTGCAGGAAAGGAGCATGCTGTGGCAGTCTCATTCTGTGCCAGCAGCTGCTCTCCTGTCACACTTGTGCATTTGGCACTGGATTATTTTTGTCTTTTCCCCTTCTGATAGGACACTGAACTTCTTCCGGGATCTGGAGCTCAGCCTATGATGCACATTTATTCTAGGGGAGGTCTGAAGACAGGCTTTAAAAATGACTTTGGTGTGGATGATCACCCTTTTCATGCTGGCAGCAGCTGAAACACCTGGCAGAAAACTGGGGCTGGCCCCACTCACTTCTTCCTGAGCTGGGTTCCAGCTCGTTTTCTCAAGGACTGACAAGAACTACATGGCCTGTTCCAGAAAATCACACCTTAGCACTGCACTGCAGGTCCTGCATGTTCTAGCAGAGCATAATCATACAAAGCACCTGCTCAAAGTGCTCACCATGAGCAGCCCTCCCGCTTCTCACCAGCCAAAACCTGTGCAGCTGGAGTGAGTGCATGGAGCCTCTGTTCCAACTGCTGGCAGCTGAAATCTTTAAAGGCCCTGCAATGAACAGGGACACTCACAGCTCAATGAAGTGCTCAGATCTCCATCCAGCCTGACCTCGGGTGTCTGCAGGGAGGACCCTTTCCTGTAGTTGTTCTCCATCTGAGCAGAGGTACCACCAAATTCATGCCCTACTGCTCCTAGACACAGCCTGGTCCAATGCAGGGCTTCCACCAGCACAGCCACACGTCAGAGCCCTGGGAAGCACTCACTCCTTCCTGCCAAGTGCCCGAAGAAAAAGGTAATATGTGAAGATTGGACACTCCATTAAAACAAAATGAATCTGTACTTTAAAGAATAGTAATAAATCGTCTTTTTTCTCTTTGTGCCTTTACGGTTTGAAGTCAGAACTCCCTCTGCCTCTTCAAGAATAATTTTGACACCTTTCATTATAGCACAGTTGCACTCAGCAGCTTTTAAAGGCTGAAAAATTGGCAAATGGCATGATGAAGCATCTCCATTTTGCCAGCATATTTACTTCTATGCACACCTACAGTGATGTGAAGCATGATAATCAGGGAATCACGTCATTTTTTACAAAACATGATTAATTGGAACCCGCGTACAACGTAGCAATGCTTCACACCAATAGTGCAAGCAGTATATACACACAGAGCAAACAGGAATATGAACTGCAGCTGGAAAGACCCTCCTGATTCTCACAAAATCTACCAGGAAGAAAAAAAGTCATTCAGTTGCCTACCTTTACAAATGAGACATATGTGTAACGCTGTGCAAGAACAACCAGCCCTGGCACAACAGCCTCTAAATGTGATCGTGGAGAAGATAATAATGCTCTTTTAACTGCTGCCTCTGTCAGAGGGCTTTCCCCTTCCAGCCGCTAAGGTTACACAGCCACAGCATTTTCAGCCAGCAGCCCCGGTCTGTGGGATGCAGGCTGCGCTGCTCACGTGCCCAGCTGGTGAAAAAGTGACAGTGTCTGCTGGAGATGATCAATTTCTTCTGCCCAAACAGCATACGTATTTAGAAGGTCTTCACCACACCACTTAATTTTACCCAAGCTTATATACTGGCTACAGTCAAAGCCAATTGTATTTCAGCGTAAACAAACCTGCAGAGTCTTGGAATAAAGCATATCAGTGCTGATGAAAATAAAAACCAAAAAGCATGGTATTGGTTGCTCTTTCGAGCAAGCTGGCATTGAAGTCCTTCCCACCTATCTCTTTGGGATAAGATCTCTTTTGAGAAACCCAGAGAGATCCCAAACTGCAATCTTTGCCGTGCTATGAGCTCCGAGCCCTGTTGTGGCTGCAGAGCTGTAAACTTGCAGAGCTGAGGCACAGAGAAATGAGGGCCAGGGAGCACCGGGGCAGGTAGAGGATAAGGAGAGCAGCGGAACTGCCCTCTGCTGACTGCCTGGTGTGTTAGACCTCCCTCTGCTCCGGCCCTGAGCAGCTAAATCCTGATTTAACAGGCAAGGATTTCTGCGAATCCACCTCCACACTGATGTTTACGTGACAAATGGGGCCGTAAGGATTCCCGCACCCACTGCTGGGTTCTGTCCCTGTGCAGAGATAGCAGAGCTGGCACAAACACGGCGCTACAGCAGCAGCGTGTTCTCGCTGGTGCAATGGTCTGCTCCAGTTAATTAACTCTAAAAAGATGTCCAGGACTTGAGCCAGTGCTTCTGCTGCATCGCACTGCGCGGCTGCACCGCCTCATCGGGCTCTGAGGTTCACGCCGTGCTATAAGGAGAGAAAAGCAGCACCTGGGGAGCAGCAGTGCTACGGAGGTGCTCCAGAAGGGAAAGGGCTGAGTGCTGCTGCCCAGGCTGGGGGGACTGCTGTGGCATCTGCTGACGGGCAGGCCTGCCTTCGTGCACCTGACCCCTTTCCTTTTAACATGGTTTTCTCGTGTCTCTGCTAAGGCCTCTGCAAAGCAATAGTGTGGTTTGAGGAGGAGATGGGAGTGAAGTTGTAAGAACCCTGTCGCGATTACCTTCAGCCCGTACCCCTTTTATCCGCCGTATGAAAGCACTCAGAAGCCCCCGCGCATCCTCCCAGCCCCGAGGCCCCACGGGCACAGCGGCAGCCCCGCGTCTCCCCGACGCTCCCGGCCGAGGAGCGCAACCACAACGGGGGACCCGGCCAACCGCGGCGGCAGCGCACGCTGCTCCAACCCCATCCGTCACCGCCGAATCCGACCCCAATTACGGATTTCCGAGCGCACCCCCGTCCCCACCGCCCCCCGCTCCGCTCCCTCCTCCCCGCCTCCCTCCCTCCTCCCCCGCTCCCTCCCCGTTCCGAGGTGGCTCCCCGCCGCCGGCCCGGCCCCCGGCTCCTCCCTCCCTCCCTCCGGCCGCCCAGCCCCGCGCAGCCCGGCCGGGCGCACCGCGGTCCCGCTCAACAAGTTCCCCCTCCGCCGCCGCCGCGGGCACCTGCCGGAGCGGCCCCCCGAGCCCCGTCTCCGCAACGCAGCGCCGGGCTCCGATGAGGGCAGCGGGCGAGAGCGCGGCGGCGGCGGCTGCCTCTAGCGAGCGCTCCGGCGGCCGCAGCTGAGCGGTGTCGAGAGCCGCTCGGGGCGGGCGGAGCGCGGCCAGCCGGGGGCAGCCTGCGGCCCCAAGCCGCGCTGCTTCTCGCCGCCAGCCCGCCCCGGCGCCCGGAGGGAGATGCGGCGCCCAGCGAGCGCCCAGACCCGCGCCCGGCTGTGAGGAGCACGAGGTAAGGTACCGGCCGCGGAACGGCGCCCGGCGTGGGCTGCCCCGAGCCCGGGGAGCGCTGCGGGAGCCGCGCGTCCCCGTTTCTATGGGGGAAACTTCCGAGGCTGAGCGCGGAGCCCCGCCGTTACGCAATCCGGAGCCGCCTGGCAGCTGCTGCGCGCTCTAACTTTCACGGCGGAGAAGGGAAGATGCGCACCGTGCGTGCCCGCACCGCCGCTTTCCGCCGGGAAGCAGCAGGGAGAGCCGGCGGCACGGCGCTGTGCGGGCGCGGAGCGCGGAGCCCAGCCTAGGAAGGGTCGCGAGGAGCTGCCGCCCCTCCTTCGCTCGGCGCCGAGAGATCCCCGCGCAGCGCCCAACTTGCGGTGTGGCACTTCGGGGCAACCGGCCCCAAAACCGCCTCGCCTCAAGGCCACCAACGCCGTTCTGCGGGCGAGCGGTGCTGGGAGGCAGCTCCTCGCCCAGGAACGTGCCCTTAACGCTCCGAGCCCCTGTCACCAGCACCGCTCGATGGGAGACGGGGTGGAAACGCAGCAGACGGGACGCCGAGCATCGAGGTCAGGAGCTCCGAGCAGCGAGGGGTGCGGGCTGCACCGGGCGGTGGGGAGGCGGCGGGGGGACGCGGAGCAGCGGGGAACGCAGAGAGCGCAGCCTGAAGCTCGCACTGCCGTCCCCCAGGGCCTCGCCCCGGGCCCCAGTGCTGCCGTGGGATGTGGAGGTGGTGGAGCGCTGGGTTTGACCTTGGGGGGCTCAGCTGCTGCGGGGAGGGTTCCGCTCCTGAGGTCTGTGGTCGGGAAGTTTGCACGGAGCTGATTTTCCCACCCTTGAGCAGCGTTATTTTTTTTCTATGAAACATTGGAAAGTAGTGAGGAAAGACAAAACGGGTCATGCCTAATAGAGAGAGGAGATTCATCCCTCTGCTTAAGTGTACGGTGGCGATTACTGCCCGTAGTCACAGTGCTGACAGCAGTGCTGTATGTATCAAGGTTAAAATCTCGCTGCTGGATGAAGAACTCCTCGCTGAAATCACATGGCTGTCACCATCCGAGCCATGCGCTGCATTTAATGCAACACTGCAAACAAACACCTCTAGTAGAAACAACTGGTGTGGAGGAGAAGGAGCATATACCCCAGGAGAGGCCGAGGGGTGTCCTACCAGCCTGCCCCTGCCTTCCTCTCACTACAGCAATTCTGTTCCCCAACTCCAAAAAGCAGGTGCAAGTTAAAAGCTGCATTTTGTTCTGGCATTACCAGTGCGCACAAGCAGCTCGGATGGAGATCAGTCAGAGCTCAGACATCACTACTTTGTCACCCACAGCCCTGTTCCATACACTGGTGGCACAGTCCTTGGCTTCAGTGGAAATACACGATGTACATTGCTAATCTGAGTGCTCCTAATGAGCAGCTGTAAAATAAAATTACCGCCCTCGAGTTTAAGGTGCTGTTGCACTGCATTTAAAGCATACTGCTGCCCAGAATGAGCTCACTGAAGAAGGCTGACACTAAATAAGCTTTTTTTTTTTTTTTTTTTTTCCCCTGTTGGTAAGGACATCACAATGCCCTTGATGGGAGATGTGTTCTTTAGGGCTCCGTAATTATTAATGCCGTATATATTTTAAGAGGATGCTCCAAATGTTTGTAATATAGGGTGAAAGCAGTGCCTTTCCCCAGCCTGACCGCACACAGACAGAACCAAAAGGCAGCAGGGAGCAGCACCGTGGCTCAGTTACTTGCCAAGGGACAGCACTGCACCCTTCCCACTAATGAAGCACACAAACAAGTAGCTCCTAAGATCACCGCTGTGATTCTTTCCCTTCCCAGTTAACTATTTCAATGTCAGAAGTCTTTTCTGTATGACAGATGCAGAGCATTCGTAATAAATTTGGAGGCAGATGAGCAGCTAAGTTGATGCAGATGAACGTGTACAGAGAGTTGAGCTGAGAGCCCCAGAGCCTGCACAGGCAGCAACCCAGCGTGTGAGCTGGCTCCTGGTGTGCACTACCAGGGACTGAACACTACTGGTCAGCACAACACTTCTGCTGCCAGAGACCCACAGACGACACAGGGAGACGTTAATGTTTTGTTTATCCTGTGCTGGAGAATTTCAGAGCAACCAAACTCTGTGCTGTGGCCGATGGGGGAGTGAGAGCTGGGGAAACCTATCAGCTTGCCAAAAGCTAAGCTGTGCTAAGTGTAAGGATACCTCTGCAAAGCAACAGAGCTGCGTATCGCACGGCGGCTCCTTGCACAGCCACAGTCAACTTGGCAGGGAGAACTTAGGATGTACAGTCAGAGAATTCACCGTGCTTGGGGAAATGACACACAAAGAAAGCTTGCTTCAATCAGATATTGAAAAAGGTGTTGTTTCTTGCCTCGTGACAGCCACTATTTGAAGCACTGCTGAAAATCTATGCAGGATTAAAAAACACGTTAGCAACCAATCTGTACCTGTTTTACAGCACAGTACTAACTTACATCTTGCCTATCTTTTTAGATTCAGTAGGCTTGAAGAAAATGAGACAGCAAACATTATAAGTAAAAAAAAACCTCAGTGTGGTGAATGCCACATTCAGCCTTTTGAGAAGTAGTGTTTGCTTTTATTCTGCTCAGAACAATGCAACCTATGGACGTACACAGGTGCGACTCCCTGGGTACCAACAGTCAGTCCTAAACGATTATTGACTTCACAGAAGATGATCAGAGCATTCTCTTATTTTAGTGGCACATCACCGCTTTGAAGTCATTTGACTCCAAGGCTACAACTTTCAGGCAGAAAATAGGTTCTCTGCTGGATGATCCCGTCATACCTCAGAGTAGTTCCACTTGCTTGCAGATTTGCAATGCCCTCTGCCTTAAGTCACCTGCTTTCAAGTTATGCACAGGAACAGCAGTCCCATAAAGATATATGTTGTAACAGTAACAACGCAGTGTTGCATCAGCTGCTTTTGATGTCCTCCTCTTTACCTACTTTTTTTTTTTCTATCAGTGGCAAAAGGGAATGGGCTGATTTTAGTCCAGCAATAATTATTGCAGCCAAATCCATGATTTAAATACAGAAACATAGAAGGGAATACGGGCCATTTTTACTGCCTGAACATCACGGGATGAATGTAAAAGGAGGCTCTGGAGGCTTCCAAGTCCTGCAGCACTTGGATGCAGATCTGAACTTCTTAAATTCTCATTACAAGAGGAGATTTGGGGAGGTGCTGAGGTTCCACCACATGCCCAGCTCCCAGATCTGGGCAGTTTGCTGGCAATGGCCTCAAACTCAGCCCACGCTGTGTTGAACATCTCTGTAATGCCACCTCCATCTGCATCTCTGATGCTGCAGCCACCAAAATTGAGCTGGAGCAGCCCATCTGTAACCAGTTACATGCTGTCAGGGATTTAACTGTATGGCTTAGAGTGGACAAGCTGTATATGAAATGAGACTTTGGTATTCACTGTCAATACAGGAGTCCTGAATAAAGCTACTCCTGCAGAGCCACTCCAGCTTGGTTCCTAAAATCCTCTCCTAACAAACTCCAGTTTCACTGAACGAGTTCGAAAAAACTGCAGTCAGATGGTGGACCCAAGAACACAAATGCACATGACTTCTGCAACCAATTTACCAAAGACCTGAGGTCTTTTTCCTCTGTGTGCATTTACTTCCATTTGCCCTGGTGCAGAGATTCCTTGCTATTGGTACTGAAACACTACAGACCGAATCCCAGCTTGAACTCACGTTCACGCTATCCATGGGGAAGAGAAGCAAGCAGCTACTGTTATTTTTGCCCGTTCATGATTGCTGTGGCACATTTGTTATAAAACTAAACAGTTTTACCAACAAAAGCAAAGGCAGGTGAGCCTGTATGGTGTGGAGAGAGGAAGAGTCAGCAGTTAACAAGAAGCAGAGCACAGAGCTGCCATCAAAGCGCAGCAGTGAGGAGCGCCCACACCTGAGCTGCTCTTTAAGGAGTCCATGAGGTCAGAGCTCCCAACCCAACCAAGCCCCTCATGTTTGAACCATGGCGTGACTTAAAAAATATTAAAAAAAGAGCCTCTATCCTGCTTAATATAAAACTACCATTGCAGGTTTATAGCTTCAGGACTGCGTTGTGAAGTTAGAATGTGGAAAGAGGTTTGGGGCTTGTTAGCTTCTGCTCTCCTTGGGAAAAGAAGGAAGAAGAGAGAATTCAATCAAATCAATAGCATTTGTGATTTATATGTAAATAAGAAACATTTACAGCAAGCCCAGTCTCCTTCAAATCATTAGTAATTGGTTGTTCGTGCCCATTTTGTTGTTACATTCATTATTCTTTTCTGCAAATACAGTCAGATATGAGGAGGGAGCTGCAAGTAAAGACATTTGAGTTGTGGATCACTTTAATACATTTTTGTGTATCGAGGCCATCAGGAAATAAAATACTGCAGTATCTCTGAGAGCTGACAAAGGAACAGACAAAACATCCCGATGCTGAAGAGCATAATTCAGCAAGAAATTATGCTTGAACTGCCTTTTAACACCAAGAACACTGATCCCTTCTATAAGCTGGGCCTAAGTTGCTCCATTCAAGGTGAATCTGTGTCTTTTAGCAGTCCTAGCCGCGCGAGCTGGTGAGAAAAATGTGTTATATTCCTGCATTCACACTTTGTGTGAGTATAAAAACACACAAAGCCCTGATAAAAATGATGCAAATTATCTGACTAGTAGGCAATTCTGGTGCCTAGAGCGTTATTCAGGCAATTCCGATTAATAATAGGGGACTTCACAGCCGCAATCCCACATTCCAGATAAGCAGAGTATATAACTCAAACTGACAAAGGGGCCATATAAATATCCCTAAAAGGATCTTTAATTATTATTTTAATGCACTTCCTAATCATCCGTACCACAAATAACCCATCCTACAACACCAGAATGTTTTGAAAGCTCTTCCTCCACGTTGTCTCACAGGTTCATGAAGCCTGGAGGCAATTTACATCTCCACAACATCCACGCATGCTCACATTGCTTTTCCCTTCATTCTCCATCCAGTTCTCCCCATATTGAACCAAAATCAGTTTTTTCTTGTGATCTGGAACACCTGTGCTGCCCACAGGCTCCACTCGTTCCGCATTACTCACGTAGGATGAGAATTTGAGACTCTGGGGTTTGAGATTTGGGGCTTTTGCAATTCACGTTTGAATTTAACACAGCTTCACCTCAGGTCAGAATCGAGCTCTTCCCTCAAGTTATTTCAGAAACATTGTAGAACCAGCCTTCATGAAAGAAAATTTACACAGTACAGCAATTAAGTATCACTCTTCAGGTAGCCAGTGTTCATTTTCGCACCATCCTTTCCTGCTGCAGAAGTCAGACTGATTTGTGTCCCTCTCTCCTTTCCCACCGTCAGCACACTCAGCTCTAACTGCACGCTAACAATTTACAGCTACAGCAAAGCCAGAACCAGAACCTGCTTGAAACTAAAAGCTGTTCACAAGTGTCCTGCTCGGGAAGGTGAAAATTACATGGCATGTATTTCCCAGTGACAGCACTGGAGTGCAAGTACAAATCTCCTAGACTGATGTTATTCATCAATTAATACCCTGCTAAAGATGTCAGGTTTTAGCCCTAAATTACCCGACCACATCCTCCAGCCCCGCTTCACACCCTCCTTACACTTATCTGCATGTAACCATAATCCAACCAGAAAGAGCTGGCAGTGCTCTGATGCCTTGCAACTGCTGACCTCTGTCTGTCATCTCCCATTCGTAGCAGGCTGGAGCACAGCCCACACAACTGATTTGCCCTGCAGTGAGGTTCCCATCGCGTGGCACCCAACCCTCATCCTGCAGAAGGGAGGACGTAAGGCTCAAAATGGAGCTGGAATCTGCTTCTCTCTTTCCATCTTTATCTGCCCAACAACATTTGAAAAGCTAGGATGAGAAAGAAGACAAACTGTATTTGGTGTCGATGCTTGCAGCCAAGGCGTTCCCAGTGCCCTGAGCCCAGATGGCTCTCTCTGGAGGTCTGACCATTTGGCAAACCCGTGGGCTGAGGCTGAGGAAGAGAACTGCTTTTTCCTGTCATCATTTGATGCATTTTATCTTTTTGTTGTTTTTTTTCCCTCTGAACACCCACAAAAACTACCGATGTTTACTGAGAACAATTAAAGGTTTGCATTAAACAATAATGCAGATAAGGAACTGTCCTTAAGTTCCTATTTTAACAGCTTGCTGCTTAAATTATTGAACAGAAACTGCCATAGAAATGAAAAACCCTTGCAGTGAGAGCACACTGGCTTTTGGACTCCTGGAAGACAGTACAGTATAAGCAGAACTATTTGCAATTCTCCTAGCAACACATCCTCAGCAACATCCTTGTACTACGAATATCAGCTGTAATGCTGAAAGAGTCGCACAGATTTACATGGGAAAATAATGCTAATAAACCTTTCCCCAGATTTTTATAGTAGCAATAGCTGCATAATACATAAAGAAAAATAAGCATAATTCTTGTAGTAGCGCTGTTATTCTTTCCAGTACAGTAAATTCTAGCAAATGTTTGATATTGTAACAACTCTACGAATGCTGTGAATTGACAGGGAATATCTTTTGACGTTGAATTTGTTCCAATATGAAGTAAATAGTTATTAACTAAAACCACGGGGGTCTGTATTATGTAAGTGCAAATCTCCTATTAGCATTAATATTCACTGCACAAACATCTTAAGGGAAAATCCTGTACATCTTATTGTACGGGATTTTATCACCATGGATGGATAACTCGATCTGATGCATGTAACAATATAGGAAGCATCAAAAAGTAAGAATTATTAATAAACTGTCCTCAGAACACGCAGCAGACATCACAATTGTAGAAGATAACAAACATCAGTTTGTGCATTCAGAGAAACTGTTTTGTCAGGGAATTTTAAAGAGTTTATCCTGCAACATGTAACTTTTCTATCTGAAAATCCACAGGCTTCTTATATCATATATTTTATTTGTAGCCACTTAGCTGTAAAACTGAAGCTCACAAGAGCATTTAAAGGCATTTACAGTCCATTTCAGCCATTAGGTAGGATATTATTTTTATACATCATTGGTACAGAGCCTACCAGTGGGTGGGGGGAAAAGGGAAAATCCAATGCCACGTGATCCTACACCAAAGGAAGACTTTCAAGGCAATTAAGAAGCAGTCACGTCATCACTGAAACGAGATGATCGATAGATAGAACAGTTCAGTTGGAACAGACCTGCAAAAACCAGAGTCCGACTGCCTGCTTGTTTCTGGAGATTGTGCTAACAGCCATCACAACGCTACCACAGGTCTTCATCAATAATGTAGGTAGACAATCTCAAAGCGTCTCCAGACCACAGAGTGAAAAACCCGAGCTAGGCAATTGGTGGTAATGCTCTGTAATTCATTGGAGTGGTACAAACTTCTCAAAACAGGAAGATGATCAGGCTACGGCAATTTGCCCTCAGCTTGATAAAATACGGAATATATGAAAGCAGCAATAAGAATGAATTCAGCATTGAGCAATGACTAAGGAAGTTCAAGAGAGAAAATTCAAGTTCAGTGCTTAAGGGGTTCAGAACAGAGTTTAAAAAAAATATTAGTTTGACATTTACCAGCACTGCTAACTCTATTATTCTACATGAACAATTCTGATAAAAGGAAGACAGACTGCTCTACCACGTCAGTTTTCTATGTCATAAGGCGTAGGGGTTTTTTCCCTAATAGCCATCTGTACTTTTTAAACCACAAAAATGGGTCAGGCCTTAAATGTATCTGGAAGTCGTATTTCATCCTCATACCTGCGTATTAAACCTCTGTAAAAATTGTAACGTGGAAAAAGCTTCTGCAAACAGCTACTAATTAATAAATGGCTAGGATGATGAGCATTTCCCAGTACATTTCTTCCTTATCAGTCCAGTTTTGCTCACCGGACTTTACTCATTTAGCATTCAGGTCACTGTCATATTATTTTTTAAGTAACAACATTAATAACAGTGGATTTCTTTGAAAAGAGTGAAAATGCTCCTAAAAAAGGTGAAATTCGTAATGTGTGACAGTGGAAGAAATAAAAACGTACCATCAGAGGTAGCCTACTAAACTCAAAATTATGAAAAATATTCTGATTACATGTACAGTATCTTGCTATCACTGGTCTACATAATGGTACATTTAGAGTCTACCAAGAAAATAGGCTTCCATCTTGTATTATAGTTACAGGAAGTCAATCCGAGTTTCTTTCTAATGTCCATTTTAATGATGGAAATAGATTAGAGACCATGTGTATACTTAAAAGACAACTTATAAAATCATTTTTGAAAAACAAATATATATTATTAAATGTTATGATGATGCACAAAGACAGTATGCAGGGCAGGATTTCTCATGAGGAAGTACAGCCTTCAGAAGCCAGAACAAGCTGCATATCACCAATGACCTTTCCTATAAAGTCCAATCCTTTGAGTTATTTTTTTCTTTAAGCTATTAAATACATTCACAGACACCTTTGTGCTCTTCATATGTGCACACAAGTTTACAGCTACATCTCACACAGTGCCTTTACAGGGCCTGAAAACACACAGATCGGCATCTCTGCTTGTCAGATGCATCTGGAAATTGGGAAGTTGAAGTCCACACTGTTTATTAATACATACTGCTGGGAACCCATTTCACCACATAACTTGAGGAGGAAATCTAGGCAGTGTCTCTACATGAAGGGTAGAAAGGGAGGCATTTATTTAGCTGAACAATGAACGTGGTTTCCATGACTTACCCTGAAGATTCTGTGCAAACTTAAGGCTTCTCTGTGTACCATTTTATTACTATCATTTAATAGTTTACCTCCATTTTCAAACATAAGGGAACCCTGCTTAGGTGTAATCAACCAGGAATTTATAAACAAATCCAGGCTAAAAACTGAAAAATAAGCTCTGTGATTATTAAATATTTTGCTTTGCAAATTGTGTCATGCAATCAGGGTTTGTTTAGAGTAAGTATAGACAAATAATAGAAATGTGTTATCTCTGTTGGCATCTGCAACTGGAATGCAAATCCAAAGCTCTTCTGAGCCTGGTGACATTGTCAGCCATCAATGCTGCCATACTTAAGCAAATTCTGAATCTCCATCTCAGCAGTTCCCCAAAGTAACCAAAAAACCATGCAGCTTGTAGCACATTTTACAATAGCCCGTTTTACATAAACCAGCCTTTCCTTGTACTCCATCATACACCACGTTGAGTGAGGAGCAGCAGAATCACAGATAAGTGCGTGGAGGAAAGGAAACAAATGATACCGAGATTTCCTTTTTCCATTTACCAGACCAGGTCCAGGTCTGGTCAGGTCAACATGCCATGTTCCCGTTCCCCATGAAATCATCCTGAATTTTGGTACTATATTTAGTGGAAAGAAGGTGGACCTCCAGCACTGTGTGCTCTCAAATACAAGTGGGATGATTAAACGTGACTCCCTAAAAAGTACATTGTATTGTCTAAGTAAACCAAGATTGAAGCCAACACCTTGTCCAAAACATCAATGAAACAAACAAACAAAAGTATTATATACACTTTTCTGTGTTAAATAACCAACTCAAAATCAACTCTTTGCTCAGTTGTTTTGCTTTCCAATGTGCACATACAGTTCACCTTGGAGACACAGAACTGAGCAAAAATGTAGTTCTTTTGGTTGCTGTAATTCTTAGTCACAGATATTGATGAAATTATTAGTCCAAGATACTAGAGCTCTAGATTAGCTAAATCAATCAGGCCTGTGCTACTGAGAAAGAGAAACAAGCATTTTGAAGAGTCAATTATTGGCTGCTGAAGGCATGCTTAAAATGAACTGCAGCACGAATAGAGTGCCCTGTTTATCTATTTCTATTCTGTAGAATATCACCAGGCTCCTGGTTTTGTCTGGGTTAGAGATTCCATTAATTCTGCCTGTTAAGTCATTCCAAACAGACCCAGGGATCCACCAAGATGAAGGGGTAATGTAGTGTCCCAAATAATCTGAAAATGGAGACAGTTTGGATGTGAAGAACTAATAAAATATCAAGCCAGTACTTGACAATAAATTTTGTGTTATTTTACAGTAGGATCCACTAGCAAAGTGCCAGCAAACCCACTACTCCAGGGATGCTGATTACTTTAAGGTATCTCAAGTGATGTCTGCTGTAAGTGACTTCCAGATCTAACAACCAATTTTTCTAAGTTTCTTTTATAGGTAAAAACGTGTCCTCTTTTCAGTCATAATTCCTGTACTTCACCTGTATTTCACGTTTTTCTACTACATCATTTCATATTTTGTAAAAGCAGTGCAAAAAGTCACCAAACAACTACTGGATACAATGGTTCTTGCATTACTGTTATTCATTTTGAGGGCAAATTTATTGATTTACCAGATCGAGTTACGGAGGACTTGCTTCCAATATGTTTATGAAATTGCAGAGTTTTTCTTTTAACGCCAGCTTTTACAACATATCTTAGCCATGACAGCAAAACAGCAGGCCGACGGCTGTACAGCTGTATATCTTATTAAGCACTTCAATATTCAGTAAAGAATTCTAAACTCCCACCTTTAGGTAGACAGGTGGACATATTTCTACCATCACTACCTTTGGAAGATTTGAACCAGTGGGATTCTGTGTACAGAATATGTGTCAAATAGTATAAATTCAAACATTAATGTAATAACTTCTGCAAGCATAATATAATTAAGAGACCCCTAAACACTTAGTATAGGATACTAACATTCTACATACAGCACAACTGTACCCTTAAGAAGGAACAAAAATTTCCTAATATTGCTATGTAGTTCACTTTTTTCCTGCAAAAATGTCTCCATCTTCGTGTATCACTTACTACAGGCACAGGGATAGCTGACCTTACACTCAGATGCCCCGGCACAAAGTAAGAGATCACTGTGACACCATATTCAGCTTCAGTTTCATCTTTAGGCCTCCCTCCAGCAGTTCCACTTTACAACCCTGTAACAGGAGGGGCTTGGTCATGCTGGTTTCATGCATTATGCTTACACGTATCTATGTATTTAGTTTGAAAACTCACATATAGCAATCTAAGATCCCATTATTTGAATGGCTACGTTCTGAATTTTCTCCCTTTTTGTTCTCTTTAAGGACTTTCTTCTGCCTCACGCGGATTCAGATAGAAACCTACCCTTAAAAGGAGCACTTCTCACTCACTGCTACCTGAATGTGACAAATTAGGCAGAGAAAGGCAAACCACACAGAATACCTCCTGTTTGCAAACAGCTTGAACTGGGGGAGCAAAATGATGATAAATATTTAACTAATGACACGTTTGCAGGAAACTTTTGCAGGCAATTGGATAACCCAGAAGCCCAACCTTGCAGTATGTAGGTTGTCTGCCATGCATTCTTGAGTGTCTTTGTAACTCCTAGGGTTACAATTACTTTAAAACAAACACCCAAACAAACCATCAACATTCAATTTACCATTGAAAATGGCCTCTCTATTATGTTTTCTTAAATTAAAACTAATATAGCCTAGTCATAAGGATTCACTCGAGAGCTGATTTCGTAAAGCACACCCCATTGTGGCAATTAACTCTTCAAGCTGAAGAATTTTAATCAAAAGCGTATTTCAGATATACCATACCTGAAAGTCCCTATACTCATTTTATATTTTAGTCTGGGTCCCTCTGAAGGCACATCAGTGTTGAAATAGGAGATATGTGCAGAATACCTGGATTAAGTGAGAATTTGCTAATTCAGTAAATTTCAGCGTTAGGGAGGAATTTGTGCAATAGGAGACTAAAAATGACAACTTCAAATGAAGTGTAAAAATGAGGTCTTAACCATCCAGTTACTACAGATCCCACATGATCTGTGCAGAGATAGAGCTGTTGGGGTTTTTTTTTTTTTTGCTCTGTGCTGTGTTAAGCAGTTGACATCTTTTCATCCTTGAGGAGGTGCTCATATTTCAATAGAAGATTAAGTCATTGCTGTGACTCATCACAGGGTTTTTTGTTGTTTTTTTTTCCCTTATTTTTTAGTGCTTTAGGATCTTTGGGGATAAGAAGCTCTGTTACAAAGGTATATTAGTGCTTCTGGTTAAAGTGGGTTGTTTTGCATTTGAAGCAAAATTAATTTACACACTGCTGACTTCTTCCACCAACTTCCTTAGATCATAAAGTTTACGCATGCAGCAGTACCAACCACTTGCTGATAATTCATCCACACCCAGACTGTAGGTTCAGCTGTGAGGTAGACTTAAAGAAAATCCAGATAATGACAGCTGGAATGAGAAATTAGAGAACCCCCTCGCGAAGATGCAGATGTATTACATGGAGGAACCGAGAACAACTCACCTTGTAAGCGAGCATACTGTAAAAAGCAATGTCAGTTCAACACTTCTAGCAACATCTAATGTGAAAACCCGTGACTTAATTAAGGGAATGGAGCTAAAAGGGTTGAGGGTGCCGGGCATTTCAGTCAGAACACGGGGACGCAGCTCACATCTTGCAAGCTTTGTGAGTAACTGCTATTTCTGTTGTAACAGAAGGCTTTTTCTTTTTGAACTGTTTTTAATGCAGGCATCATGGTGAGTAAGGAGCCCAGCAAATGCTTACTCACCACCTCGGAAAGCGAAGTTGAGCCCGCAGCTTCGCTCGCTTTGGAGATGAAATATGCACTGGATCCCAACCGGCAGATAAAGAAACGCAACAAAGCCCTGCAGGTGAGATTTAAGGATATCTGCGAGGCCCAGAACGAGCAGCGGGACAAGCAGCTCTCCACCACCCAGGATACAGACAAAAGAGAAGCCAAGCCCGTTTCCTACAAAACGGCGTATCGCAAGTACATGACGGTGCCTGCCCGGAGGTCCATCCCCAACGTCACCAAGAGCACAGGAGTTCAGACATCCCCCGATCTCAAGAAGTGTTACCAGACCTTTCCTTTGGACCGGAAAAAAGGGAATATCATTAAAAGCGCCTCGGCTGTTGACACCTTTAAGAGTGAAAACAACGGCTTCCTGATAGACATTAAGGAGAAGGACAGCAGGAGCTCGGAGGACGGCAGTCAGTGGGGCAAGAAGGCCGGCAGCCTGCAGACGGCCGAGTTCATCTCCCACGTGGGCGAGCGGGCGAGCGCGGGGCCCGGCGCAGCCTGGACCTGGCAGGGCGCTGAGCTGCACGGCTGCAGCCTCCTCGACGCGGCCGAGCCCGGCAAGGGCAAGCCGGGAGCCGAGGAGCCGGGCCAGCCCCTCCACGGGAGGGTGTTTAAGACGGAAGTGGCCACCGTCTACCTGCCGGCGGGCGGCCCGGACGCCTCGCATCCCGAGCCCGACTGGTCGCTGTGCCCGGCGGGCGAGGAGGACAAAAAGAGGACCGTGCATCTGAATGGCGTGCAGGCCCAGGCGGGAGATGCGGCCGCCTGCCCGTCGCAGGCGCAGTGCCGGGCCAGCGAATGTAGCGAGCGGGGCCTGCAGGTGAACGCGGCGCCCATGGAGGCTGCGCAGCCCTGCCAGGCTGCCGTCGCCCTGAGCGAGGAATGCCAACAAATCGTGCCTCACACGGAAGTTGTGGACTTGAAAGCGCAGCTTCAGATGATGGAAAATTTGATCAGCTCGAGTCAGGAAACCATCAAAGTGTTGTTGGGTGTTATACAGGAGCTAGAGAAAGGAGAAGCTCACAGAGAAGGGTGAGTACGAACTGGTTTAAATGCTTTCTCCTGTACGCGCTGTGGTGGATTTTGCTCATGTCGGTTCCCATCAGCAGTTCGGTGCCCCTCTGCACAGCACCAAGTTCCACCTCCTATCACTCAGCTGTAATGCTGGGAGTCCTAGAGAGCCTGCGGGCTGCATGAGCGGATTGCTATCTGCACATCACAGCACAGTGTCCTTAGGTTGTCACGTAGGGAAAGCTTACACTGTACCTCTGCTGCTCAAAATACATGGGCATGTAATGAGCTGAGCCCCAGAGCTCCTGCTCAGCTTTCTCACAAGCTCGGAAGCAGCTCCTCCTAAGCCAGGATTTAAGGCAGCAACCTGACATGGCATGAGGAACAGGAGGGAGAATCCTCACTGTGTAAGAACTTAACAGACAGGCAGAGTATTATAACTCCTGATGCAACTCGCACACGAATTCTGTTTGCTTTGCTTTCACTTTCTGAAATGTTTAAGAAAACGGAATAAGAACTTGGAGTATCAAGTCTTTGTAGCATTCGTACTTTTCTATGCATGATAAACTCTTAAGGACAAAAGAAAAAGTTCTGTTCACCCCTAACTTACGTAACTGCCATCAGCTCTGAATGCATCACAAGCACTGGTTCCTGTAACACAATGCAGTCCTCACTGAGAGCTCAGCCTGTCTCCTGCATTCTCTAGAACATTTTTTAGACTTAGCTGCTAATACTTATTCAGCAGATCCATTCAGAATGTGCATGCACTATTAAGTTATGATTTATCAGAAGAAATCTGGATCTTAAAATCAGAAGCCAGTGGATCTTGCTACTTAAGGCAGTATGTCCTTAAATTTCAGTCAAAAACATACATCTTAGATTTGTAACTTAATTTTTCCTCTAGGAGTGTGGAAAGGATCTGGTTAGCCCTAAGTATTGAGAAAAATAATCTTAGATGTTTGGACAAATTCTTTAACACCACCTTAGCATTTTTAGCTTGTTCTAGAGCTAGTCATAGTGCTTTGAAAATACTATGTCAGTTCCCAAATCTTTGGGCTGGGAACCTTCTTGCTCCAGCTGAAAGCAACATGCAGACTTTTATTTTTTCATAGTTATTCTGAAAAAGTATTCCTCTAGCTTTATTAACTTACAAAACTAAACGGGAAAGAAGTGATGATCCTTGAGGTCTGTTCCAACCCCAGCCATTCTATGATTCTGTGACACGATGCTTGTCAAATCACAAGACACAGAAAAATATTTCTCGGTCGTAACTCATAATCTGACCATTTTGAACCCTGCGAGTATGAAACACACACCCACCCACCACAGAGTGACCTGCTATAAATACGTGTTCCCTCCATACACCTACATGTCATTTTTTTGTTTGTTTTCTCAACGATACTAGAATGCACATCCCACAAATACTTGTTTTTAATTTTACAGCTGACCAATTTCATGTACCCAGCATCTGAATGGCATCCATGCCCTCAGCACAAAAGAGGTCTTGCTCAAACTAAAATGGTTGCTGACATCTTCAAATCGTCCCTCCGAAGCTGCTAACCAAAGAAAGCTGTAGCTTGTATAAGCTCTAAAACAGTGGGACTGTCTGTGAATCCCAGTTCTTCACAAGACTGTACTGCCTCTTATGTACAGACATCAGTGTAAGAGTCTACAAGGCTGTATTATATTTGATCAAAAAGCCTATTTAGTAGCACTCCTTTACTTTTTCCCCATAGGTTATGTGGCAATGGTGAAACGGTCCTTCCCCACCACCCAAAGATACATCACGTTTTGAACTCATTTCTGGTGTGTGAAAGAGGCAATTAAGATGTTTTACTGATTCTTTGATGTTAACTGCAAAATCATAACCAGTGGCAGTTATACCAGCACTGGAGGTTAATTATAAAAACTGAAGGCAAAATATCTACAAATCAAAGTAAGCCTTCAAATGAAGGTTTGTTTTAAATACAAGGGCATTGAAATGCCTCAAAACTTAGAAAGAGCAGCAAAGCTCTTCCAGCTCCCCCTGCACATGCCCTGGGCTTGTCCCAGATGTGCCTCCTCATGGCCAGACACGAAGGGTGTGGGGATGGTGATGGAGGAAAGGAGAGAGATGCATGCTTGTACATTTTCTCCTGCTTTAGGAATCCCTGTATTCTGGATCCATTTAACTTCCTAGCACCTGGGAGATATACAAGGAGAAGCAAAAAGGAGGCCAACACTTTGCCCGGGATGCTTCTGTTCTCCACTGAGTGTATTCCAGAGCTGAAAGAACCGTCTGTTCTCACACAAAGCACTGGTGCATTATTAACTGAAAGCGTATCTTTATCCTTATTTCCCTCAAATTAGGCAACCATTTCAATAAAAGGTACTCTGCCCTTTTTTTCCAATAACTCTTGCCCATTACCGCATTCATTTCTACAGCATTTTGCCACCATGACCAACCGCTGCGTATACAAACTATCACATATCTTCTCAATTTCAGGGTGTTGACATTTCTTCCTTTAACAGCCCCTGACTCCTGTTAGGTCAGTTTATAACAAGAAAATGAAAGAATTACTACATCTTCATCTCTACTTCCCTGGCAGACTTATACAAGTCTGCCAGGAACTAAAACAAAAAATAGTGTTCTGTGTTTATGGCAGTCTATTGGATTTCTTATGTATATTAAATACCTTCCAACACACAGCAAGAAACACATCCAAATAATGCACTGCTGGCCAAAAAGAAGAAAGAAAAAAAAAAAGGAAAAAAATATAGAGTATATAGTTAACTCTCTCAGTCAGATTTTTCTCCCTTCAAGAAAATCAGTGTTCTTTAAGTGCTTGTTGTGTCATGGGACTGGTGCTCAGTAAATTCATTTTCACTAATATGCTGTAGGTCTTGAACTGCTATTACTGCAATTCATCACTAAATGAGTCTATGCCAGCAAAAGTGTATCTGCATCTCTGAAGATAGCAGTATCATCCTTTGGGTGAACATCATCCACGTGTACTTTTCAAAATGTCAGTAGTACATTATCTGCAATTAGCAGCAACATACAGCACTCAACTCTGATGAAAAGCAGTTGAAAAAACAGGAGGAAGAAAAGAACATCTTGCCTTAACACCTGACAAGAGGCAGAGGGCTCCTGCTGCCCAAACCTGATGCCCTGAGCACGCATCATGTCCTCTCTTCTCTGACTGAGGACCACGCTCCAATTTATTGGTCACAGAATGAAAAGTTGGGGCTGTCAGGAAACACAGCTCTTACCATCACTGCAGCATAATTTTGATGCATTAAATCTATCTGAACAGCACGGCACACATCTGCAGACGGGTTAGAATCATCATGGCTAGCTTGTGACATCCACACACACCCCAATCAAAGATGATTATTAAAAAGTGTACGTTCCTTGCATGCATCATTATTTAATAACATTTTGGCAAAATAACGATTCAGTCTTTCTATGTGGAGGTCTCAACAACAACAAAAATACATCATAGCCAAGGGCATTAAGCAACCTTTGATTTAAGTCATGCATGAACAGAAGTAGCAGAGCTACAGCTTTCGTTCAGGCTTCCAGCTCCAGGTGGGGGAAAAGAACTGATTATTACATGATGCACTGTGCAGCTCCAAGACCCAAAACAAGTTATTGGCTCTGAATTATGCTTGCTTTATCTTCTAGTAAACTGTTAGCAATCTCTAAGAGCTGTAGACATGCCTGTATTCAGACACAGTGCATTCAGTTAAGCAAGCCAAAATTCTGCTCTGTTTACCTGTATGGAGCCACACTAGGTCAAGAGGAGTGAAAACAAAATACAAGGCACTGATTTCAAAACTTGGCTGACGATGGTACTGCATATGAAATATGTAACAAGAGAAGTACTCAGAAGATGAACAGATAACTGAAAATATCTTGCAGCTGGAGAACACCAATGACCTTCCCCTTAAATCCTTACTGTGAGAAGGAACAGTAATCAAGGCACTTCTTATTATGCAATAAATCAGTAATTTTAATAAACAAAGCACTCAATTTGCCATACAAAAATGAGCCAGAGTGTTTTGACTGCACCAGGCCAAATGCTACATATTAGACAAGAGTTAAATGAACCTGTTTCAGTGATGATTTATATTCATTTGTGAGTGGTTCAGGAATTCAGAAACAAACACGAAAGCAGCAGTTCCAGACAACACCAGCAGTTCAGAGAGCTCATTCAAAGAGGCTTTGAAAGAATATGAAATCATGGACGGATTTTAAATGTCATTGCATGCATCCTTCCAATGAATACAGGATATTTGGGTGCCCTATTATCATTTCTAAGCAGCAAACTGAAGCAAAACCGCGTGTGTTTGCATGGATGTTAAAACAAGGAGGAGAGGAGGGCTTCATCCAGCGCAGAAAAAGAGCAGCCTTACCCCAACACTTCTGTTCTAACAAATACTGCAAGCAGTCACTCTCAGGATCACAAGAACTGAACATAAACTTATCCTGACTCAAGAATGATGAAAAATGAAAGTCAGATAGCCAAAGCAATTATTGCCCAGTTTGTTTGCTTTTCTCCCTTTTCAGAAGCTACTCCAAAGCACAGTGGCTATTCAGCTCAGGCGAAGGGGAGAGAGCAAATAAAGGCAATAACAACCTCTGCAGTCTAACTCAATCCACCTACGCACACGCCAGTACTCTTACAGGCGAGTTCTTTATTTCACCTACGGAAGACGGTAAGCTCAGAAAGCTTACAAATATCCAACCTCTGAAAAGCACAGCCTTTGGAAGTAATGCGCTGGCCGCAGAAAAGATATGGCATGGTTTTGTTTGGGACTGTTCTTTTTTGTTTTTTTTAACCTTTCTGGTTTCATTTTGCTTTTTCAATTACAAACATAGCATGGGTAAAGTTTAAGAAAATTGTTTCTAAGAGAAAGCCTGAAAATGGAGGAAAGCAATCTGTTGATAAGCTTCAAAGAAGGCAACAGCTGCACTGCAAACAAAGATAGGGAAACCAGAAAGAATACAGCCAGCTTTATCTGTGATGCACTAATTA